AGTTCTGTCTAAATCATTAGTAGTAGTGGTCTTTCTGTCCAAATCAATAATTGTAGTAGTAGTAGTTCTATCCAAATTAGTAGTAATAGTAGTAGTAGTGATAGTCCAGTCCAAATCAGTAGTAGTAGTAGTAGTAATAGTGTTAGTTCTGTCCAAATTAGTAGTAGCAGTAGTGGTAGTTCTATCCAAATCATTAGTAATAGTAGTAAGGGTAGTTCTTTCCAAATCAGTAGTAGTATTGTTAGTTCTATCCAAAACAATAGTAGTAGTAGTTCTGTCCAAATCATTAGTAGTAGTATTAGTAGTGGTTGTTTTATCCACGGAATTCTCAGCATCTTTCTGTAGAACCACCTTTATGTTGTTTCAAATATATTCTTTACCGATGAGAAAATTGTTCATCATTCACTGGAAGAATTTGTTTCTAACGAATTTATTCATTAACTTAATACTTTTCTTAGCATTTGGAAGTCATCTTTCGCTATCCCAACGCGCCTTCGGGTTTCGCATGTTCCTTGCTCTGTTAAAGCAATTCCCATATATTTAAATTGTTGTACTTGTTTAATTTTGATATCCCCAATTTGTCATTTGCACGTTGGGCTGTTCCTTTTGCTAACAACCATGCATTTCGTCTTCTTGCAATTGATGATTACTCCTTTCTTCTCGCTTTCATCCACTGTTTCTTTATAAGGGAACATTTTGCATTCATTGACTGAGAAATCAATGCTATTGTCGGTTCATATAATCATTATCTTAAAATAGTTTCCTCTGGTCCAGTAGCTATTATCTCTCTCTTTCCACTATCGATTGTTTCGTAGCCTTTGGTGAGAAGTATTATGGAAAGCCAATAGCTTGTTTATGCCACTATTATTAATGGTAGAAGTAACAATATATTATCGATTTTCATAAAGAAAATTATATATAGAATATTAACTAACGGTTATAAAACTTTTCTCTTTTGTTTTGAGAGAAAGTAATTTTGCAAAGCTGTATGTTTCGCCGCATAGTTTCATTAATTACCAATTATTTTTTTTAAATATTAATTAAATTGTTGACATAGTTATTTTTTAATATGCATTGTATGAATTATATATTTCCTTTGATACGCATGGTAGGAATTATATATTTAGCATGACTAACACATCGTAACTAATGTATGGCGAAAATAATTTATCTTAAACAGTGTTTCACTGATGTATACACTTTAGAAATTTCTGTGCAATAGAATTCACCATCACTGCCATCGGCCAATGTTTAAGATCAGGTAAAAGTCAGAATCTTGAATGTTAGCTTTGAATGCAGACACGCAAACACACTGACATGTATATCTTACTAATGCCTAATTAAGATTAACAATTCAAGACAGTTTGACATGTCGTTGAAAGAGACGTATATTTTCCAACAGGTTGGTGCTCGAGTACAGTTCCAAATCAATATTTTAGATATTTTAACATAGGCTGTTGTGACCTTACTTTGCAGCAAAACAATTTTCGTATGCTCCTTTTATTTGGTCTTTTCCCAAACTAAGGTTATATTAGTATGTAACTTGACACTAATGTGAATATGAATTATTTGTTTTTAAAAACCTCGGTGAAAATAGTTGAGAGCAAAAGGAATATTCGATAAATGAAATGATATCAAATATAACGAAACGTGGTTGGAAAATCCAAAATGAGAAATGGAAAGTTAAAGTCGAAATAAGAAATTTTCACGAGTCAAGACTAAAAAGATAGAAGTTATTTGATAGAGTGAAAAAAAAGAAAGATTTATGAGGGCCTAAAATGAATATATATATATATATATATATATATATATATATATATATATATATATTATAGTAAGAAATTTGAAAAGTGGAAAATGTTTCATTGAAAATTGAATTGATTATGCGTTTCATATACGTATAGATATTACCTTCATATATATATATATATATATATATATATATGTTTGTTTGTGTGTGTGTGTGTGTGTGTGTATGTGCTTGTTTAAAACCGAATTAAATGTATGATGTTTGTTTGACAGCTCTATTTGTAGGCCGATTAATATCCGTATATTATTTGACAGATATGTGGGAACCTTTGACAGTTCTTAGTTGACTGTCTTCATTAACAAGAACCTTGAATTATATCAAAATCTGTTCAGGGTTTATTTTCATGTATGGGATTTAAAAAAAAAAAACTTTTGAAGCCACATAAACGTGATGTCATATTAAAGTTTTAACTTTAGAGGCATAGCATGAAAGTTACGTAATACAGATCTGAGACTTTAAATACGTTTTATGATAGGTATTCCACTAACATAAATTAACCTTTTGAATATTGATTGTCTTGATTGAATTTCGATAACTTCTAAAACCTGTACAGTTCTTTTAAACTCAGTATTATTTTGTTATTCTCAAGAGCTGTATTATAATTTGGTATTTTTATGTTTTCATATGATTTTTTTTTCTGTTCTGCATCACATTTTATATCCTATTTATTTTTGGTTTGGTAGTTTTTAAGACGTAATCTACGAAAACAACTGTTGCGTTGTCCACTCTCTAAAGAGTCTATGTTAGACTCTTCCGCCTACTATAAGATTAGTCGGAGAGAAGGCTTCGAGGAAGAGTGAGCAGTGAATAGATTGAGTGCTAGTTCATTCGATACACTCATACTAGTCGTGCAAAACTCTTCTGGTGTACTTGACCATTTACTTGGTCACAAAAACAACATTAGTCTTCCATCGATGATTCCATATTAATATATTTCTATTTGTGACTAAAATTCATTTGTAATAATACACACATATTGGTAAATTAATATATCACTTTTACTATGGGAGATATTATTAATGTTAATGAGTTCGATCTTTACTGAGTGCCATATAAATGTGGCTTTGTGATTCATCGTGAGAGGAGGGACTACTGTGACTTTAGCAACCTTGAATCACAATTCAACTGAATTCGATTCTGCTTTGCTGAGCTTTTGTGGAAATTCCCTGGAGTGAAATAGACGCATTGTTGTTGAGAAGCGAATGGTACTATTGACGTCTATATTAGTTCGATTACATGTTCACTCTGTATGTACAGACTTGTCTTAGAGTAAACAAAACTTACTCACTACTGATGGTCAGTCAATAAAGTGTAGTTGGCATGCTAGATTCATTGGGAATTATAATTATTTTATAATCGTGGTTGGCCCTCCCTTCAAAACCACGTAAATTATGGACTATTTTGCGTTTCGATCGAGTGGAAGGAAAGAAAGGAAGAGAGAAGTGGAAAGAAAGTGTCAGAGAAAGTTGATAAGGACATATATCACGCTTTGATCTCTGCCAAAAGGAAGAAAAACTATGGCGACAACGATAATGCGCCATTTTTCATACGCACAATATCAAACGACGGAAATTGTAACACAATCGCCAAATATCTTTATACCATAAATTAAACAAAATAATATCCCCCACAGAATTATTTTTAAATTATTATTAAGATACATGTTCTTGAGACGGAGATTTGACTAGAAAGAAAGTAATAAATGATGATAAAAGTGTTTAACGTCTCTTGCTGATACCTCATAAATAATGGATTATTTCGTTTTGATTGCGTGGAAAGGCAGAAAAGACATATCAGAGAAACTACTTAGTTTCAGTGTGATAAAAAAAAAGAAAGAATGAAAGGAAGGGAGGAATTAAGGAAGAAGTGTGTATCGTTTCCTGTCAATACCTCATAAATAATGGACTATTCCGATCACATAGAAGGAATGTACATTACTTGATTTCAATGTGAAAATGAAAGAAAAAAGAGACGAAGGGAGGATAAAAGGATTTAACGATTGTTTCAGTGAAATAGAAAAGATGTCAATTTAAAATCTTTTCATTTTTATTCTTAAAATAACCAGCATTCATATTTATGCTTGTTACTACAACATTTTATTAAAGTTGTTAAACTCAAATATCTAACGATGCGATATGGAATTTCTACAGATATTTTATTTTCTTAGAACTTGCCATGAGCTTATTTAATCATTAACTTAAGAATTAACATTCATCAGATAATGTAAATAGTAAAACCATGAAATTTTCAAGATTCTTTCTAGTAATTATAATTTCGAATATGTTCGATACGTACTGGAAGACATATTATCATTTTCTTCTTCCAAAATAAGATCAGCTTAGTAAAAATCTGCTTGTTTGAAATTTTCTCAGCTTCTATTTCTGTATATACGTTTTTATTCTCTGAATATTTATTTTATCTTTTTTGTTTCCTTTTCTTTTTCTTTTTCTTCGTATTTTCTTTTCCTTTCTAAAGGATATGAAGCACTCTGCGCTGGCAACAGAATGTGCTGTCCCCTAAGGGCGATTTTTTTCATAATGTAAAGAAGACAGACCAAACTGATGAAGTGTCCCCTCCGTACTGGGGTGTCGCTTTTAATAAACTACCACGATGGAATCACACAGAGTTCGGTAAGACTACCGGAAGAGCTCTGACAAAGTCCTGCGAGATGGATGTGTAAAGGGAATGATTGTGCTCTACAGGAAAATGGCGGGAAATAAGTTGGAAGAAGAAGAAGATAAAATAAGGAAGCTAACAAAAATGGCGGATGAAGGAAGAAAAAAAAAAATGGCCGGCGGCCGAACTTTCTGGACTGGCGTTTATCTTCTGGTTTTATATATTCTCTGTTTGTTTATATATTTGGAGTCCATCTTTTTTTCTTTTTTTTTCTTTTTTTTTTCAGGTCTTGTTTACTTTTTTCTCTATTTATCTTCTTTCTTTGTCGTTCCTAAGCATTGCAATACATGGTGGAATTCTACAATGTGTTATAGACCCCACGGGATCACTCAGCTGACAATCCATCTTTATTCTTTATTGTAGAACTTTTTTTTTTCCATCCTAGTTATGCTTCTTTCTTATTTTTTTCCTTTTTTTATCATTTTCGTTTTATTTACTTATTGTGTTGAATTTTAGGAGGGCGTGGGTCATAGAAGTATGGAGTGAGTCTCCATTCAACGTTGGTCGTTGTTACCTTCGTTACATCGTGGTGTGGCGTTGTCGCTGTTAACGCGTGCCTCCGGCGTACGGGTCGCGTGTGTTATACCCGACGCGCTGACGACACTGAATGGAGTGATGTGGATAAATAGGAGAATAGAGAGAAAGGGAGTCTGGGTAGCCAGTTACAGAAGATGTCCAAGGCAATTTTCGAAACTATATCTTTTATGATTTTTGAGGAAATATCTCAAGAGACTCACACGTATTTTTTTTTCGTTCCAGTCGCAACATTGATAAACAGATAGGAAAATAAGATAAATTACTGCATTTCAGCTCCAAGACTGACCTAGCAATATTTTCTACGTCTCTTTCTTCATATATATATATATATATATATATATATATATATATATATATATATATATATATGTATTTGAACAGCAATCCCTCTTTCATTCAAGTTTCATTAACAACGACTGACAAGAACTGCGATTAAGTTTTTTTTTTTTAAATTCAATTTTGTTCTGTTCTTATAATGTTCTTCTTTTCTGGACATAATTTATGTAAAAATTGTCCTGATGTCCGCATTCCGTTATATTTTTAACCATTATTAAGGATAATTTTATTTAATTGTTAATGGTTAAAAGTATAGTCGAAAACCCTCAAACATACAGGATATTTGGATAATTTCTACATAATTTTTATCCAGAAAAGAAGAAAATCATGGGAACACAAAAATTAAATAAAATATTTCAACGCAGTATCTTGTCAGTCGTTAATGAACTTCTATCTATCTATCTATCTATCTATCTATCTATCTATCTCATATTCAAAATGATGGCATATGCATGTTTTAAAATCAAAATAAATATTGCAAATTTGTTTCAAAATATCTGGTGTCTTATTAATGATGGTGTTGACTGAAAATAAAGGGTTTTAATAATTTAACAACCAACCAAATACCCTCAATAGGGGAAACATTGTTACCTAACATATGATGACCAATCAGAATAAGAGAATACTAATTTAAAAAACCGTGACAATATACCCTAAGTACAATCTATTAGTGCATTAAACTTAACTGTGAAATTAAAACTTTATTTGTTACGTTGATTTCTATAATTTGCTCGTAAGTTTAATGCACTAATAGATTGTACTTCGAGTATATTGTCACGTATTTTGAATTCCCATATACTTGTATTCTGATTGGTCATCATAGATTATGTAGCAATGTTTCCCCTATTAAGGGGTTTTTTGTTGTTTTTAAACTCTTAAAATCCTTTATTTTGCAATGAACACCCTCACTTGATAAGATACCAGAAGTACTGAAACAAAATTGAATTATTTGTAGTGATATTATAACATGCATATGTTTCATCTATACCAACCATGTACTTATATATATATATATATATATATATATATATATATATATAGAGAGAGAGAGAGAGAGATAGATAGATGTGTAAATATTTCCTCGTGTGAGTGTTTATGCGATTTCAAAATTATGGACTCGACACAACTCTCAATGCCAGTATTCAAATATTTAGCCATAGAAATAATGTTTTGGGGTAGGCATCGTCTAGAAGACTTTTCAAAACTTTCTTTGTCGAATTTTGGCTCTGCTGAAAGTTAAAATAGATCTGGGCAATACTTATCCAGTTCTTTTTTACAAAAATATACGCGCATTCTTGTAAAATATGCCTCAATTTAGCACTTTCATTATTTATTTTCATACGTTATTGAAGAAAACCGGTCAACTTCATTGAACCAGAAACATATTACTTTTCTTTAACTGCATATGATGGCAGTGAATCACCACAAAGATGAAGAGACAAGAAGCAACAGACATTTGGTTCTACAGTAGGATACTGGGAATGCCATAGACCGAAAATTTGAGCAAAGTCGAAGTTTTAAAGAAAATGGAAACGGAGGGTTCATATGCTTAACTTCAGAAAGCGAAAGATGAAATTTGTAAGTTATAAAATGAGGAAAGAGGTTTTGGAAAATATGATAGTGTTTTAATGGAATGTCCCACTCTCCTTATCGCCTATTGTGGACTGACTATATCAGATATATTTAGAGTGCACATGATATACCTGGCGACTTTCTTCGGCAATTAATTGGAGATTCGTCCCAGCGAAGCTAGTCGAACTTTTTGCCTTCGGGCAGAAGGCAACCCAGATGAGGCTATGCCAAAGGGCAGAGTCTCGTCTATGGTGGTAGACAGCTACCCGACCCCCGTTTTTTACGGGGACTACGGGAATTTTTTGTCCCGGCCTACGGGCTCGGATACCCCAGGTTAAATTCGGCTTTGGGCCACATCTAACTACGTGGGGCGGTTGGAAAATATCCTTGCTTCGATAATCAGTTGGAGTTTCGTTTCCAGCTTAGCTAGACGAACTCTTTGCCTTCGGACAGAGAGGAACGCAGACGAAGCTATGCCAAGGGCAGCGTCACGTCTAGGGAGGAAGAGAGCTACCCGACCCCGTTTTTGCGGGGACTACGGGGAATTTTTGCCCGAGCCCACGGACTCGGTTTTGACCCTGCATTAAAAACGGCCTTGTGTCACATCCTGCCTCGCAGGGAGTTGAGGTTAATAACTTTGCTTCAGCAATTAGTTGGAGATTCGTCTCCAGTTGTGCTGGTCGAACTCTCTGCCTTTGAGCAGAGAGGAAACCTGACGAGGCTATGCCGAAATGCAGAGTCTCGTCTGGGGTGGTAGACAAACACCCGACCCCGTGTATACGGGATCTACGGGGAATCTTTGCACGAGACGACGAACTCGGTCGTCTCCCACGCATTAAAAAATGCCTTGTGCCACGTCCTGTCTCGCGGGGAGGTAAGCTGAATAACCTTGCTTCGGTACTTACTAGACTTCTAATCGGTTCCCTGTCTTTCAGTAATGTATTCTCTTTTGCAATAAACAGCTCTTGTTTCATCTACGCGCGTGTTGCTATACCTTTCACTCGAATACCATTTTTGTCTGTTTTTAAACTCTTTAAAGATACAATAGATAGTTGCAGGACAAATTGAACGCAAGAGGGGAGAGAAGAATCAACACACACAACAATATTTATTAAAGGAACATGGCACATATAAGAAGAATATAAAATTTAATTTCTTTCTAAACATTAAATAATTTTCTTTCTAAAGTTTACTGTGATATTCATTGGATGATGAATATTTCTTAGCATTCACTCTGTTTCGTTTCCTTAAAACCCGTCTTTTGACCGGTCTCATTGTTTAATTTTATCAATATTTCTCTTTTCTTATCTTCTGTCGAAGGACGCTACTTTGCCTCTAAGTCACTGACTTAATTTTATGCCACAATCAGTTTTGGAGGTTGCTCTTTAAGTAAAACATGTCTGCTGGCGTCTCTAATTTTGATGACATTAGTCGTCTTGTGATTTCGCCTGTTGACATTAGCATATTCTCGGGCGATATTACTTTAAAAGGTGACATCATGTTGAATAGCGGAGATCAGAATACTTCCACTCAAAGCCGTAAAACGTTAAAAATAAAACTCACCAGAGAATTGAGATATTTGAATACGAGACAGAAACCAAGAAGCTAAAAGCAATATTAAAATTAGGCATTTAATTGGCAATTCGTGTGCAACTGACTCACGATAAATCCTACGATAAGATCGTTGTTTGGTTTAGACTAAATTGTTTTGCATTCCATTTCAAACCATCTAATCATAAATTCGTTGATCAAATTATTTGTTTGACGGATCTGAAATGACAACATTTGTTATCGCGGAGATTACAATTATTGTCGAAAAAGATATGATGTCTTTCGCTGAGAAGATAATTTTGACGACTGTTCACAGTAATATTATGATCATGGAATAATTTATTCAGTCTTACATGTCGCATCTCGTCTTTTAAGCATAGAGTTTAATGGGGGCTCTGATAAAAAAATATTTGTTCGATATAAGAAAACACAAGGCTTAATGTGTTCAACTCATGATAACAATTGTACGCCTTTCTTGTGCTTTACAAAATCAGTATACAAACCACTATAGGATGTGCGAAGTATGTAACACTTATCGGTTCAGAGAATAAAATCGGCGATCCGAGTTTGGATTCCTACATAATAAATTACGCTTACTTTTAAACAAATGACCTTATGAATGATATGAATCTATCTCTTCTACTCCCCATCTATGGGTTAAATACAAAAAATAAACATAACTTTCGTGATTTGAGCAACACCCAGGATTACTCTGAATTAAAAACCATGGAGAAAGTAATCGAACAGCATCCTATTATATTTTCCAAGAAATCATGGCAATTGAAATAATGAAGTAACGGAGTCTGTGGAGAGCCGTTACCGTCTACGCCCTGAAAGAGTATTTTTAAAAATAAAATCATATCACAGAGCTACTTAAGAATGCAAGAAATACTGAAGAAAAAATATCAAGAAAACAAATGATCGAGAAAATCAAATTTTGAAGGAACAAATTGATGCAAATAAATTGTTATACCATTTCCGTCGAATAATTTTTGAACGTGTCTTTTGATGTCTGTCTGTGACATCTATCCGTTAGAAAGAAAATATAAGCCATTAATATTTTGTAATCTAAATCATGTCTTAAATGACTTATTCTTATTTGGTGTTGAATTTTCATTTTCAAGTTTTATGTTAGTGAGAGAAACTATTAGCGGGATTTGAATAATCATAATTAATAATTCATCGAGTCTACAAGAATCCTCACAGAATGCAGAACGCACTGGACGGTCGTTTTGTTCTATTTGGGGGACTCATCAGCGGTGCACATCCACACGGACGGTTACGTTACGATACGACGCAAGCGTCGTACCCACTTGACGAACGGGTCTCGTTGAAGAACAGGAACACAAGACTCGATAGAGCGCCGCTCTTCACAAATTCCGTCGAGTAACTCATCCAAGTTTACTTAGCGGAACGGACAGTTTTTCTATTACTACATTTCGGCTGATGGTGATTTTCGATCTACTGATTATCCGCATTGTAGCATTGGTGCACGGTGGATAATGGATTGCAAATACCAATCGAATTACAATCATTACATTCACCTAAGTACTAATACCCTTAGGAAATGTACGAATCTCTCTCTTCTCCACTGTGGGTAAATAGCAGGACAAGCTGGGTTCTATAGGCTTGTGTGGTAACCATGTCTAGGAGAAAGAAAAATCTGAATTTAAAACAGGGTAAATAGTAGGTTGGCTGGCCTCGATAGCTATGGGTGGCAACCAGACTAAGAGAAGGAAAACTTTGAATTCAAATCCGGAGCCTGGTTACATAAGACAGTCTATGCTAAATTTCATTCTGGCATCTCCAGCAACGACGCCGGTGCCAAGCTATGTTGGCCTGTCTTTCCCTTGGATAACATCGGTGGCGTGAAGAGGGGGAATCGTGCTACACGTGCAGCTGTCTATCTGTCATAAAAAAAACCTGCCCAGGATTTCACCCTGGAGAGGACATTTCTCTTCAGGCACATATTCATGGTCTCGTGAGACCGACGGATGTCATACATTATTGCTGCAACACAATCTTCGATATGAGTTATTGAGGGTAACTTTTTACATTCAAAATTACGTTGAATCAGAGGCTATATGAATCTGAACCTAAAATTAATATATCGTTGTAGATAATAGCAACAGATATATATATATATATATATATATGAAAGAAAAATACAGAAAAAACAAAATTCTGAATATGCATTATTAATGTTAAAATAAAGTCGACGTCGGACGTTTCGGTCTATTTAAGACCATCTTCATGGACATTTTCATTTAAACATAATTAACATTATAACTTATAACAATTTAACACAAAAGACGATGGACATAAGAGCCCAACTAATTCAAACAGATAACTTAAATTTAAATAGACCGAAACGTCCGACGTCGACTTTATTTTAACATTAATAATGCATAGTCAGAATTTTGTTTTTTCTGTATTTTTCTTTCATACTGTCGGATTTATATCCATATATTTGCTTACATATATATATATATATATATATATATAGCTAAATAATTCTCTCATTATATATATATATATATATATATATATATATATATAATCGATTCTCCCGTCGAGATTCGACGGATGAGGGTCAAGCAGATCAGTTTCAGGAAACCGACAGCCCGACAACGGCACATGAGATTTGATTATAGTGGTGAAGGCTTCGTGCAAGACCATCCACACTTTTGAAGGAACGAATACAGAGACCTGGTGCACCGAATGCCGAAGAGTTCGCTCATTATATATATATATATATATATATATATATATATATATATATATATATATTATCAATTGGTGATTAGTAGGGATATTTCCATGGAAGATATAAATCCAAAGAGAGCTCAATGTGAGAACAGAGCAAATATAATGATGAAAGCTGATTCTTAGTAATCCATCAACAGAGTTAGGTTTGCCTGGCAGTTTAGGTTCATAGTTAGATTTCCTCTACTTAGTCTACTTTGCTTAGTTATTTTTACTTCAATCGTGTCGGAGGCTTTTTTTTTTGGGACTCTGAGCTTGGATTCCGGTCGATTGTTTTTGTATGAATTTTATGTTCTTGGTTCTTTCTTTATTCATTCCTTGTGTATTGTTTTGTTCGTTTACAAGCCAAAACACCTAAAGTTTTTTTTTTTTTTTTTTCGGGCGCGTATAATTAGTTATATTTGTAAGATATATATATATATATATATATATATATATATATATATATATATATATATATATATATATATTGGCAGCACGTTTCCATTGAGACATGACTCATTGAATAATTGAGAATATATATATATATATATATATATATATATAATTTAGAATATATATATATGTATATATATAATTTAGAATATATATATATGTGTGTTTGTATATATATATATATATATATATATATATATATATATATATATATATATATATATATAGCTAGCACGATCTATTTGTTGCTATTTATCTATAATGATATTCTAATTTTAGAATCTGATACATGTATTATGTATTATATATTATATATATATATTAATCAATTTGATCCAACAAAGGTGATAATGCTCATAAGTTGCTACTGGTAGTGAAAAACTAATGAAAAGGTTTTAGTAGGAACTAGAAACCCGATCCTAAACAGGGAACTGGGATTAAACACCTACTCCTTTTCAAGACCGAGGAGGGGAAGTGAACATGGACGATGGTGAACCAATCTACTCGTATTGAGGGTAGAGTAAAGAAAATAGTAAGTAAAATTTCAGAGTCCAGAAAGAGACGTTAAAAGTATAGATTTGAGTTAGACATCAGAAGGGACAGGAAACCCTATTCTCAACAGGTATCATAAGGTAACATGACCGGGTAGGCGTGTAAACTCGATAATAGGCAAGCCTGACAGATAGATAGATAGATAGATAGATAGATAGATAGATAGATAGATAGATAGATAGATATGAAGAGACTGAGATAGATAGATAGATAGATAGATAGATAGATAGATAGATAGAATAATTGAAAAGTAGATTTTATTGTTATGTAAAACGAGACTAAATAAGGAACATGATAACAAAACGTATTTGCGTTAAAAATTACAATTTAATTTTTCATTTACATTATTTACATTATTCGGACTATTGTCCTCATGTTTGTCACCATGATTATTACAACGTTTCGGCCACTGTACGCTCCGGTCTTCTACAGGTGGTTGGAATATCGAACTGAACCCTTTATTTCGCTCACTGGTGTAGACTGTTCTAGTTCCACCTGCCATGTCTAATGGATGCCTGTTATCAATTATCTCCTCTTAATTTCCCTCTCTAAGTTCTCCTCCGCCTTAACCCGATACTGAACTCACACTCTTTGGGTCCTGTCACTGGACCAACTGACGCTTGTCACTGTGGATAAAGGCTTTAGTTAGATCCAGTGACAGGAGCCAAAGAGTGTCACGTGGAACTACAACAGTCTAGCCCAGAGAGCGAAATAAAGTGTTCAGTTCGACATTCCAACCACCTGAAGAAGGCCGGAGCGTACAACGGCCGAAACTTTGTAATGAATATGGCGACAAAGATGAGGACAATAGTCCGAAGAATTTAAATAGAGTACATAATACTTCATCTAAGAAATATAGACAGTTTTCAATTAGTGAAACGCTTTTTGCAAATGTCCTTTCGTAATTCTCATTGCGTCCATGCAGAGAAGTACTGATTTTCTTCTGTTCCTTTTGTGGATAATTTCAGACTCTGTATCGGAAGAGAATGTTGACCATTATACTTCACTTCCAAATATCGAACCAATTCGCCTTGTCCTATATCGGTGCCCTGTGAATGTCGGGAAACAACTTAGAATTTCAGTTGTCTCCACATTCACGATTTAAATGCGTATTCAAGTTACAATGATATAAAACTCCCTTTGCAATTTTTATGCGAAATCGTTGTTTAATTGCTCGTATAGTTTCATTGCTTTCTTTTAAGTTCACTTGCTACACAGCTCTCTCCTGCCACAGAGACTACCAGAGATTAATGCCTTTATAGGCGATTTTGCCGCAAATCTTATGTACAAGGTAACCAAAAAAGTCATGTCCATTTTTAAAGTAAAAAAAGAAAACGCTTTACAGTATGTGCAAATTATATTTAGTCTTCGAAGTAATCGCCCTCGGCATCCAGCAACTTCTGTCAACGTGTCTCCAGCTGTTCAATGCCCTTGCCGGAGAACTCGGGGGGTTTTGACGCAAAGATGTCCGTCAGGGCTTTGCGCAAGTCTGCTTCAATAGTGAAGGATTTCCCACGAAGATGATTATCCAGGGCGTGGAAGAGGTGGTAATCGGATGGCACAAACTCAGCAGAATAAGATGGATGGCACAAAGTTTCCCACCCAAGTTTCTGTATGGTATCCTTGACCACTCGCGCGACATGCGGCCTGGCGTTGTCATGGAGGAAAAACACACCTTTGCGATTCACCAATGCTGGATCCTTCTGGCGCAATGTCTGTTGCACACGTTTCAATTGCTGCGAGTATAGGTCTCCAGTGATCGTTTGGCCCGTTGGTAGCAGTTCATAATGAACCACTTGACGACCTGTCCACCAGACACAAAGCATAATCATGCGTGGGTGCATAGGCGGTCTTGCGGTGTGAGGGACAGCATCCTGAGGAGAAAACCAATGTCTGGAACGCTTGGTAGTTTCGTACAGAACCCACTTTTCATCACTGGTAAGCACTCGATTGAATAAGGATGTGGTACGGTGGTGAGAAAGCAGTGATACACAGGAGGAACCCACTTGCTCAGTTTGTACGTCTTACCTAGGCGGTGCAGGTGAAGTCTAACTGTTTCATGGGAAACGTTGAACTGTCTTGTAAGTTCACCACACGTTAGACTACAGTCCTCTTCAATGGCCGCCTTCAGGACTCCGTAATTCAAGACCTGTGGTCGTTCACTGCGATGATCATCATGGAGAGACAAATCTCCCGACTGAATTTTCGAAACCAACGCCTTGCAGGACATTCATCCACATCACTATCCTCAAACGCTTGACATTTGCGTGACTTGCTGCAGCTGCTGATAAGCCCACTTTGAAGTCGTAAAGTAAACAGCCCCGAACGAGATCTCTAGACACTTCCATCCTTCTCACAGCTTTCCGGCTTATAACTGATGGCCGGGCACGGTGCGCTTGTTTTTTTATAACGTCTGATGTTCCTACTTCCGGCTGTCCGAATTTGAAAACAATTGCTGCACGTATTTCGTAAATATTTCAACTTCATTCAATGACTAATCAAAAAACGGACAGAATTTTTTTGGCTACCTTGTATTACGAACCCTACTGAAATTTCAACGGGTATTGGAACAGTAAAGATACTTTTTAATTTATAGTTTAAAAACAGTAATTTAATATTACTAACCAGACGCTTCCTCTTTAGCTAAATGGTATAACACGTCAGGCTATATGACGCATCCGTTTAAGATACAGGTTCGATTTTCTATGAGATTTTCTGACATTCAAATTCGGTAAATGTTGTTAATACTGTTTATTATAAACAGAGCATTTACTTAAATATTTGTATCTATAAAAATAACGTATAAACAGTATATATATATATATATATATATATATATATATATATATATATATATATATATATATAATATTCGGAGGAAGGTTTAAATAGAATATTGGCGATCTTTTTGTTGAGAAATATCTGGATTTATACAATATTATCTAAGAGCAAATGTTCCTACTTCAACAAAATCTCAGTATTTATACGAGAATAATCCAGGTACCTACTAAGTTCACCCGAGTTTACAGACATAGATATTTCAATATTTTTTCTGCCTTGAAATGTCTATCTTAGGAAAATTTTGATACACAAAGGCATTTCTAAGCAAGCCTTACTTTATTTAAATTCGGACATTCCTTGCAATGTCACTCTGAAGAAATCCGAATAAATTATAATGTTATTCAAAAATTATTCAGCATTTTAGTCAAAAAGGTTTTACAGTCCCTAGAAGATAGTCATTTGTATTTGTAATCTTAACCGTTTTCTTACAAATGAAACGTTTGTCATCCATTTTCGAACAGCTAGTTCGACTGTCGCTTGAATTTTTGTTTTTAAGTTTGTACGAAATGTCTTTTTCGGAAAATAGCTTTCTCTAGTTCAATATCTTATCGATTTGTTTCCTAGCTTTTTGCTTGATGTCGCACGTCAACATTATGATGGTCTTATTATGATGGTGTTATATGATGGTGTTAAGTATAACTCAAGACTTCAATGTTAACATAAATCAGAATTTAATTATAACCTAATTTCTGTTATTTAGTGATATTAGCAGGCTAGAAAAATGATTTACGAAAATATTTATCTCTCGTCCAATGCAAGACAATTTCCTCACTTAGGAAGCTGAAACCTGAAACAACAGAGATGTGGCACTACAGGAGAATGCATACAATACCATTGATAGAACACGTGAGTAACAAGGAAGATTTAAAGAAAATAATACTCATAACCAGTAAGCAAAGGTGATTAAACAATTATATATTGAAATTACACTAACTTCACGATTATCTACGTTATATTTACATCAACGATTAAAATTATACCGTAGTACCGCGTAAAATCACTGCTGATACAATGTGGAATAATAAAAACAATGGAAATTAAATGTGTTAAAAAGCTGAGATAGTTCGGCGAAATAAAACATTTAAATACAACATAAGTTGAAAGTATACGTATTTTTAAATATTTTGATATAAACTTGTAACAGTCGATTATTATACTTCTCCAATATATCCCTTATCCCTACAAATATATAAAATATATCCCATCAATAATAACAATGTTAGTTTCAAAACGTTCCTTCTCGGAACAAAACGTGTCACTAAGAAGTTTTCCATTTTCTCACTTACTTACCTACTCTTTAACATTCTAAAAAATACATAAATAATACCGTAACCCCTGGTCCATGGTAACTGTAAAACATTGAAAGCTAGTTTATTCTGATTCTGGCAAGATAACAAGTAGAATGTCAATTTTGAACACCGGCAAAATTCAACAGAAACTATTGAATAAACGAGTGTGCATACATATTTTCATTGTAGTTTGAAAACTCATTTTTAGAAAACTCATTTTTTTAAAACTCTCTTTAGTTTCTCGTTTCTGAGTTTTCAAACAGTAGATAAGTACGAATGTTAGCCGAACATTCCACAGCCCACTATAAAATTCTGGGGATTGATTACAACCTTGTGAGTATTTTGATGGTTTGAGCTTCAAAACCAACGGAAATTGTGTGGAATATCAGAATATTCATAAAGAGAAAGTGTAACTGACAAAGAGACTTTCTTGATTGTCACATGATATATAGGGACTAAACAGTAACGTTTTCTTGAATGATGAAAACATCACACGCAAGAAAAAGACGAGAATTAAGAATCCAACCAAGTAAAATTAACGGTTACATTCTATTCACATCTTTGATATTAAACCTAGCAATTATATTTTGAATGATTCCGAGATAAGTTAAATATACCGAAAATCCTTCCATACCGAAAAATGTTTCATATTTTTTATTCAACTAGCTTAGTTATCAACCAGAAAATATAATACAATTTTATATTTCATATCTGAAAGAATATTACATTACAAATTTGTTCATGGTTTGGTTTGTTTTGTTTTAGGACATATCAACCTGAATGAGTCATTTAATACCGACAACTTTTTTTTCCTGGTAATATTTTTTTTTTGACAAAAATCTATTTCTTCCAATTTTTTTTTTCTCAAAAATGGATAGCTGGTAATATCATTTTAAAAAATGTATTTCTTGTAATATTTTTTTTTCAAAAACGTACTGCTGGTAATAGATTTTTTTTCTTCAAAAATTTATTTCTGGTAATAATTTTTTTACAAAGTATTTCTGGTATTAAAACCTATTTTTTCACTTTCATAATGCTTTTTATCTCAGTTTTGGGGTTAACTATTTGCCCATAGCTGAGATCCTAACAGGTGCTACCACCCCGGGTCAAGATGGACCTGGGAACACCAGCAATTAAGAGGTGGTTCCACGCAACTCAAAACCTCCCAATCAGAGGCCTTTCTGTTGGACGTAGTTTATCGTCATACCCTGGACGCGGATGTAGTTTATCGCCATACTCAGGACGAAATTTGTTCATAGTATGTTATCAAAATTATATTTCCTTCCCTTCCCGAAATATCCTTATATATTTCAGACCACTAAATAGAGCTACTGCTAAAGACGTAGGCGTTTATTTTCTTTTGTCTTATCTCTGTAGTAGCGCGAGACTGCGCGTGACTGCGTGAGACTGCGCGAGACCAGGAGCTATATTAGAAAGCTAAATCAATGTTACTTGCGTGGAAAACCCACTATTCTGACTCTAGTTATCGTACCAGATGTCGCTTAATATGTAGACAAAACATTCCTAAAAATACTGCCAGTATCCTGAGTTCGATCATTGCTTGGCTCGCTACAGCAACACCAGCTCAAACCTAAGCTGTGTAAATATCTACTGGTCGGAGGTGTAAAACCCCTTACAATCATGTCATACGCAAGCCTGCCTTTCCGGTGTTAATCTTTAATAATGATCATCTTATAAATCAAATATCTTCCCCAGGCACTATGATGGAGAAGGTCTGCGGCATGAAGTGTTCCCATTAATGTGTAGAATTCAGGACCCTTGAACAATAATTCCCAATAGGGTTTCTTCCTTGCCCGAAAGAAACGAATATCCAGAAAATTCCAAGTGAGAAAGCCAGTTGTGGACAAAGGACGGCGCGCCACTCAGCCCCGGAGAAATGGATGAGAGACGATAATTACTATAATTGATGGTAATTTTGTCAAACAAGGAATGTACGAATCCTGCCTCGGAGTCTTCCGCTAATACATCAAACAAACTTAGAAGCGGTTCTTATTGCTGATGCTTGCTTGCCAGTATCTTTTCCGTTCGCCCGATTCTTCACGATGGCTTATCGGCGTTACTATATCTATAAGGCTTTCCTCTTTTGTTCCACACGTCAGCTTTTGTCTTTCATTCCCGGAGCAGTTTCATGCTGGCATGGCATCTGAAGACGATGACCATTCTGGTCGTTTCCTGTATAAATACGGAACGACGCTGGAGCGGTTTTCTTTGCCTCTTTTTTTACCAAGGGCTGCATTTTCTGCTATTCTGTGTGGTTGATCTCATTTGCAACACAAGAGCAAACAAACAAGTCAAAATTAATGACGCTCTGACTGTTCAGCTCGCCACAAATGACTGGGAAAAAATAGGCCTTTTTTCTTACGTTTTACGTAGTATAATTTTCTAGTGTTTAGAAAATGTCAGCCTTTTTTAGTAAGTGAATCGGGCGTTTGGTTTCTTTCCATCTTTTTCTTTCATAATATTTTATTTACATATTATTTTGTAAAGTATTTTCAGTAATTTTCTTGATATTTTATATTTGCTGATGAAAGGAAATGCAAAAGAGGACCGACAAGGGAAATGAGTTCCACCCACCTCCAAAAAAAAAAAAAAGAAAATAAGTTACAAAAAGGAATAATGACTGACTAAAAATAAAGGAAGGAAGGAAGGAAGGAATGAAGGAAGGAAGGAAGGGAGAGAGGAAGGGAACGAAGGAAGGGAACGAAGGAAGGAAGAAGGGAAGGAAGGATAGAAGGGAGGAAGAAAGCAGAATGGCGGCTGTATAAAAAAATGAAATGGATAAACAGAAAAGACGGGTTATTAAATTTAAGATTGACAAAAAATCCAATCAAAGAAAGAACGAAAGGCGAGATTAAATGAAAGAAAACAAAAGAAAGGAAAACATGATAAAATGAAAGAAAGAAAGAAAGAAAGAAAGAAAATGAAAAGAAAACGTGATAAAATGAAAGAAAGAAAGAAAAAAAGAAAGAAAGAAAGGAAAACGTGAAAAATGAAAGAAAGAAAGAAAGAAAGAAAGAAAGGCGAGCTAAAATGAAAGAAGGAAAGAAAAAAGAAAGAAAGGCGAGCTAAAAGGAAAGAAAGAAAGAAAGGCGAGATAAAATGAAAGAAAGAAAGCAAGGCGAGCTAAAATGAAAGAAGGAAAGAAAAAAGAAACAAAGGTGAGATAAAATGAAAGAAAGGAAGAAAGAAAGAAAGAAAGAAAGGCGAGCTAAAATGAAAGAAAGAAAGAAAAAAGAAAGGGGAGATAAAATGAAAGAAAGAATGAAAGGAAAGAAAAAGAGATAAAATGAAAGAAAGAAAGAAAAGAAAAGCGAGGTAAAATGAAAGAAAAAAGAAAGGCGAGATAAAATGAAAGAAATAAAGAAAGAAAGAAAGAAAGAAAGAAAGAAAAAAATATAGATAAGAAAGAGAAGAAAGATAACAAGAAAGAAAGAAAAAGTAAGAAACAGAAGTGAAGGAGGACTTCTTTTAGGTATGGTTTTAAACTTTTGACTAGCTAATATTTAGCACAATTTCCCAATATCCAAAATTTCCCTATTAACTGCTAAAAAAATATTTTATTTTTCCTTTTTCTTTTTTTTTTTTTTCATTTTTTAAAGCTCGGCTCAAATAAGTGTTTTAGTCTAAGAACGCAATTAATATCATATTCATTTTCCTTAAACGTTTAGCCAGCAGTTTATATATCTTATTACTTAAACGTTATTTTTACAGGATACACATATTTGAGTAGACGTTGTGTTTATTTACTCAACAGTAAATGTAATTATTTTAGTTACCGAACCGAATATTCAAAAAATCTCAAATAAAAATACGCGCTGTCCGGCATGATGTAACTCCCTGAATAGGAGAAACCGTTATGAGATCCAACGGATTTTAGATCGCACAGCCATTGCGCCGATGACCAGGCGAAGTCGAATAGTACCTTATGAATGGAAATCTTTCCCAGATTCTCGAAATATACATATCTGCTCAGTTTAGTATCCTAAAACAGTTTCTAAAGAAGTCATTGATTTTTACTTATTATTTCGACAGGTTTTATTATGTAAAAGATAATTTTCGTGGGTACCCATATATAAATAGAAGCGCATTTATTTATAGAAGTACATATATTTATTTTGACCTACCGGCATGAAAGGTCTGAAGCATGTTGGATCTAACCAAGGTTTCTTCTGCCCAGGGGAACCCAGGTTAGAATCTGGCCGGTGAGTGCATATTTCTCTTTAATAAGATTATATAAGATAAATATACTGTTCAGCATCTACTCAAATATGGGTAACAACTAAAAATGACGTAACGTTTAAGTAATAAAATCTGGCAGATTAATAAGTAAAAATCCACCATTTCCTTAAATTATATATATATATATATATATATATATATATATATATAGAGAGAGAGAGAGAGAGGGTATTGAATAACAACAACGGCTCTTATCATCAAGAAGCTGATTAGACGACTGGAAAGAATCAGTATAAAAATAGTAGACACAATATGTCTATATTATTCAGTGAAAAATGTTTTAATGAAGATATGCTGTACAAATACACGGGCACACACACACACACACACACACACACACATATATATATATATATATATATATATATATATATATATATATATATATATGCATAATAAGTGTAAAATGTTTTCGGATGCCCTATTATGTCCTTTAGGATTTCATCGGACTAAGTTTTTTCATAATCTTTTTGGGGCTTTGTTGAAGAGGGTTTCATTAGAAGAATTGATAGATAACCTGCGGTTAATTGATCGTGGTATTGATTATTGTGGTCGGGTGGTGTATATGGAAAGTTAGTTTATTTTTTTATTTTTTTTTGTTTTTTTATATGTTTAATATACCTTTTCTTAGGATGAATATGACATCCAGAAAAATAACTTCTCTTGGGTTTGCTTTTAGGCAATGTCGAATCCCATAACCATTATATTTTTGTGATTATTTTTCTGGGTCTGTTTGATTTTTTGTTACTTTTATCTGTTGTTTGGCATTTACTACACACACACACACATACACACACACATATATGTATGTGTGTGTGTATGTGTGTGTGTGTGTGTGTATCCATACATCACTATAAACTGCATGAACTAAAATATCATACTTATTATAAAACCCAGGTTGTGTGTGTGTGTGGGGGGGTCTGTACGTTTATATATTGGATCGGATTTCCTACATTTTTCAACCGATTTCAACAAAACTTCACAGGACTACGTAAAATTACCTTGCGGTGGTTCTGACAGCGCCAAAAATTGGAAAAACGCAATTGTTTTTGCATGAAATCAATTTGAAAACACGATTTTGCGGAATGAAAGGGGGAGACCTCCTATCGAATTATACTTATTATAAAACCCAGGTTATTTGTGTGTGTGTGTGTGTGTGTGTGTGTGTGTGTTTATATATGGGATCGGATTTCCTACATTTTTCAACCGATTTCAACAAAACTTCACTTTTTTTTGGTAGGTAGTGTTTCTTATTGTCTTGCACACTTTTTTCTTTATTTTTACATTCAGGAACTTTAAAAATTCCATTTACAAGACAATTGTTTATAATAAAATTCTATTCAATCGGTAGACTCATAACGATTGAAAACAATGTTTTTGTTTGAGTTTGACCAATTCATATATATATATATATATATATATATATATATATATATATATATATATATATATACATGCGTGTCCATCAACCTTAAACAATAATCTTTGTCAATTTTATTTTTCAGTCTTTATGCTAGTGAATACTTGATCTATCTCTTCCTGTTACATCCCCGGGCAACGCCGGGCTCTACTGCTAGTTATGAAATAAGAGTCTCTTATAGAAACATATAAATATGTAAAAAAGACGTTAAAATGTTTAAATGAATTATAGTTGGTTTTGAATTTAAAGTTCGGCGCAGATCAACATTTAAGATTGAATATAAGTTTGGAAATAAGAAATATAAATTCTAATTGAGAGTGATGCTCTTTAACAACTACAACTGGTGTTATAAATTCAAAGTTGGTGGGTAACACTATTTTTTCGGGATCAATAGAGTAATTAATAATATTATTAGTATTAATATTCCTAACATAAACTAAAAGTAGTTATATCATTAATAATAAAATAAACCGTCTAAAATAAGATATAAAGTCTAATCAAATTAAATGAAAGCCATATATAGGAACTTGTAAATATGCAAATCAGTAAATAAACAAATTAAAAAATAAATGGAGAAATAAGGCAAATAAAAGAATAATTGAATAAAAATAATGAATGCAAATACATGAGTAAATAAACCAGCTTCTGATAGTAGGACTAAAGGTGAAAGACAGAGACAACAAACAAGCAATATATATATATATATAAGTGAACATAGAAGTCAACACTTAGAGGCGACAGTCTGTTTCATGCTATATCCAATCGTCAGCACACAAGACCTGACGATTGCATATACCATGAAACAGACTCTAAGTGTTGACTTTATGTTCACTTTTATATTTACACACGCTCTATCTCTGATATCGAGTACTTTATCCCATACATATAGCACACCTTAAGACTATATTTCTTTATATATATTATATATATATATATATATATATATATATATATATATATATATGTATTGAAAATTTTCATGATAGGGGTAATGCAGAAAAGGAATTATGAAAATATTAAATGTTTTGTCTTAAGAATGGTTGTACCATAAATGTAGTCAGAAAGAAAAGTAAAAAGTATTAAAAATAAAAATTATTATTATCTATACTAGTAAATGTAGACGCCTGGTTCGGCTAGACTATATTAATCTCGGTCAATGTATTCGTGTAGGAATTTGGATCTACGTAGGCAGGAGTTAATCAACTCTCTTCTTTTGTTTAAGAGGTTAGGATTTTTTTATATTTTTCAGTACAATTAATTTTTCAGAGAGGCATAAATTACATTTATTGCCTTTCCTGTTAAAGGGCTTAGCTTTTGCTCTAATTCCCAGGTGATAATTAGATTTTTATTCTCGTCACTTAGCTTCCAGAAAATGTTAGAGAGAGAGCAGTGTTGTTTCGATATTTGATATTGACAAATGTCACTCGGTGGTGGTAAAAGCACGATTTCCAATTGTTTTTCGTAGAGCCCACATAAAACTTGACCTTGTTTGATTTCAGCTTTATAAACAACGAATTGAACATACAATTACCGTCTTATGGGCAGAGTTTTCTATTTCTGTAGTCGCAGTTATTAATTACGGAAATGTTGTTTCTTTGAAGGTTGTTTAAATGCTTGTTTAGAATGAACGTCTTCGCCGAGCTATATAGTGGTCGATGTTTTTAGCACAACTGTAGCTGACTTTGATGTCATTTTTACTGAAGATCTTAGTAAGTGTTGGTAATGACTAAAGTGCTTGTGAATTAAATTTTAAAAAAATCAATGTTAGTTTTGACGTTTTTTGTTGAAGGGATAGTTAAACCATAAAATATTGTGTTTGCGACGTTTTGATTTGTTGGCGTCTATATTTTCAAACTAAAGTATTGATCTGGGCCGAACTTCAAATTCAAAACCCACTAAAATTCATTTAAACATTTTAACGTCTTTATTTAGATGTTATACGTTCCTATATATGTCTTTTATTTCAGTTTTCATTATTTTTCTTTCTTTTTTCATTTTCATTTTATTGATATGTATTATTAATATTATTATTAGTAGTAGTACTTTATTTCATTTTGTTTATTTTGTTTTATTCCATTTTATATTATTTTAACACAGCATACTTTGTTCTTGATATCATTAGTTTTAATTTAGTAATATTATTGTCGGAGGCACGGTCGAGAAATTGATAGCGGCTCGGATTAGGAAATCGGAGAACCGTGTTCGAATTGCAGTCAATTTCAATACCCTTGGGAAAGGTATGAATCCTCTTCTCCCCACCCCAGCTATAGTTAGAAAGCAGAGCAGACCGGATGGCAACTGGTCCGCAGAAAGAAATGGCAACCTACTGCGGGAAAAATCTGCCTTGTCAGTCATATATCGAAAGATACATGATCGCCTAATTGTATATCACGCATAGCGCATAACTGTCAATGACTCTCTTAATATTTTTAAAAAATAGAATTTGGGTCCCTTGATTTCCCGAATTGAAATTTCTTTTTAACAGACCTCTGTATTCTATTGGTACTAAGGAATTTCAACTCAGCTTCTTGAGGGTGATTAAATACTGTGAACGAAGCAAGGTGGATCTTCGCTCTAAATATTTGATTTGGTGGCACAAGTATATGGAACTCATCTGAACAGTTGTCATGGAAATAGTGATAGAGTAGTGGCAGAATTGTGACATACCGTCTGTGAGGGAAAGGTCGTAGGCTTGAAAATACTTCACCCCCTACAAGGACACATAAAGGATATTTATCTCTGTAAAGGCTTGAAACTTAGGATTTTAGGCCTGTTCTGAATTACGAAGATAATTCCTGGCAGAATAACAAGTTCCACGCACACACACATAAGCACACATACACTATATATATATATATATATATATATATATATATATATATATATATATATATATATATATTCAGTTGTATGAATATGAGTTTGTGACCCTGGGTTTCAAGCTTTTGTGAGTTTGATGATCGCAAAAAACGTGAAACCCAGGTCAAAAACACATATCTGCATACAACTGAATGTTATGTTACCTTTATCACTGATATTGAGCACTTTCCAATAAGCACGCGCATTTATATATATATATATATATATATATATATATGTGTGTGTGTGACTGCGTGTGTGTGTGCGTGTGTGTGTGTAAGTAAGAAAACTGGTCGTCTTCAGTAAAGCTATTTTCTCGAAAATATCAATTTCATATCAATTCAGTTTCAAAACCATAACGTAAACAAACCAATATACAATATACAAATAATTAATGGGTTTATTTTTAATCCGATATTTTTATCAGATCAAAAGTTATCTAAAGCGGTGCTCTGGACTGACATCTTAAGCTATGGATCTTATATTTTATTTCACCTTAATTTATTGGAAAATAAATTATAATTGTAGATTTTTCACTACTTTTTTCAAAACTGATAATCGCTGTAAACTTATGTTTCGTTTTATCACTCATTTAATGATAAAACCTTGTACACAAGTAACACATACTCACGAAGGAACACGGAGTATTTTTCACCTTACCAAAAGTTAGTGACATCATTGATCAAAATAGCTATTGATGACAGCCACATTTTTCACGCGTTATTTTACGATATTGTCCTCAACATTATATCATTAAAGCTGAAGATATATACTGATTGCAGTGTTGGCAAAAAAATATTTTCGAGAAACAAGCAATTAAAACATCACATGACTATAAAGAGGCCACATTTTTTTCTCTAAAAATCAACGACTCAGGAAAATAATTTCAAGTAAATCAATCAATAGTTACATATGTTAGGGGCAGGTCTGGAACAAATTCGTCAACAACTGTAAAATGAAACTAAAGTACAGAAAGAGCAAAGGTCGGTCTATTTGGTTCTTGAGATGCCCGGATATGCAGAAACTGGCAGGTGAATACGTTCCTGTTGTTCCCCAAAAGCCGTTCCAAATAACAGTGTTCCTTTGAGTCCCAGTATGCAAAGAATCTTCAAAATTCATACGAAGAAATAAATGGTTAAACCATTGGCTTAGGAATTTCCTTCCTCTTTCAAAAAATGTTCTTAAAAAAAGTCAGCCGGACGGAAGATGTGAAAAAGAGATGGACAAAGAAAGAGGAAATTTTACACAAGTAAAAAGCATGAATGGGAGAGAAGGAAGGAAAGCATTAGTCTCCTTAGAGGTTTACAATTACTTTTTTTTTTTTTTTTTTAAATTCTCTCCTCCATTTATACTTTACGTCTGTTTTAAGCTACTTTTTAATTTCTATTACGATAGTTAGATTTTTTTTTTAATTCTACTTTTTATATCGAGAATCTGCAAGCTAGCTACAGCATTCCAGTCTGCCTGTCATTTCAGAGACGAAAGCCTCAAATGTGTACACTGCTGAGACGTGTCATTCGTCAATTAGCGAAAAAGCGTATAAAGGGATTTCCTGAAAGTGCTGATGTCAGCATTGTTAGGCATGTCCATCTTCCAGGTTTGCTTTAAAACATTTGTTCTCTTTCGAATGTCTCTCATTGCTTTTAGTATTTTTTCTCTCCAATTTGCTACAAAACCAGCAACCGTTTTTTTTTTTTTCTTTTTTTTTTTTTTAACTGCAAACCGCAACTGCTAAGAGCTTTATTGTTAAATACAATCCATTAACTTTCTACAGATAGAAAAAAAAAAAGACTTGCATTTCTTTATCTGAAATTCATTTACGAGTATGTAAGAAGGAAATTGAAAATTTAAACCTTTTAAATATCTTATTTCTAATATTCCACGTCATTTAAGTTTTCTCAACAAATACCAACTGGAGAGAAACTTCCCAACACGCTCTTTCCAACTAATAATTGACGCATTAGTTTTCAAGACTAAACTGAGTTTTATTTCTTTTTTTTTTCCTTCATGAAATATTATCTAGAATCCTCATTTGTGTCGAAACGACGTGAATCAATTCAGAAAAAAATAAACTACATACTTTACAAAATATTTCATATAGACGTAATGAAAAAATATATCGATATATTAAGTTAAAAAGTAAATGGTTTGAAAACTTAATTCTTGTTTGAAGATATTCAGCAATAAGAAATCATCCTTAAAACTGCAATAAAAAGTATTGCTGAAAAATATTAAAATGTGTTCGTAATTCGTTTGTTAATAATTCAAAACGTAGAAAAATATTGGGTTGGATCGATTGATTGATTTATTCGTTTTCTACAGTTATGAACCCTTTGAATGTTATTTAATGCCAGAAAATATCTTTAGATTTTAAGAATTTTTTTTTTTTTTGGGGGTGTAAACTTTAATGCCACCCAAACTAATCCGTTTTCATTTAACCATCACAGAGAAACTTCCTTGCTCCCACCCCGCCATCAGCATCGTTGATGTTCGACTTCGGGAGAGTGTCTCATTGCCTTTTCTTGGCCTCACGTTTTCCATTGAGTTGAGGTGGAACAACAAAATTGAATCAATAGCTGCATCTTATTCAAGGAAAGTTAGTTCACTGTGTCATGCCGGAAGGTTATTCTTGTCAGAGTCCATCTTACACATCTACAAATCTACCATTCTTTCATCCATTAAATATTGTTGGCCTATCTGGTCTGGTGCTCTTGTTAATCTCCACGTTCTTGACAAAATCAAAAAAAGGATCTGCAATGTAATCGTTCCTGACATGACATCTTGACATCAGTCACTTTCTCACAGACGTGATGCTACTTCCCTTTGTATTCTCTCCAAATATTTTCATGACAACTCTTCTGACGGGCTATCTTCCCTGATGTCCCGACTGCATAAATTTAAGTGTGATACTGGATTGGCATTTAGGTCCCACCATTTTACTGTTGAAATAGTTAAATGTAACTGCCACTTCTACTCAAGGAGTTTCTTTTCTCGCACTTCCTTATAGTGAAACTTCCGTCCTCTTACTTGCTTCCCTGATAACTACAATCGTCAAAAATTTAAATGCAATGTCAATCGCCATCTTCTGTTGCCTTGATTCCCGTTCTTCTTTTACCATTTTCTCAACCCCCCCCCATACACAGGCTTTTGCCCCACTGTCACTCTCTTTAAACTACAGCGTGCTAGTGACACCCCCGCTGGCTTGGGCGGAAATGACAAAAATAAATGATTTTACCTATAAAGGTTTTACTAATTAACCCCTAACTGGGTGAGAAGATATGGATTCACATCTTTCCCAAGGATATTCTAGTTAATGACCATGTTAGACTTAGCTTAACCTCGCTGAAAATTGATACATCAGTGGGTATTTCTAATCGATTCATGTGGGGATTGTATATACTATTTCCCTTCAGGAGGTGGACGTTTATGGCTCTCCACAATTTCCTATTTTTTTGTATGTCCCAATATTTGTTTCTTGACATCCCTCCTATGCAGCCTTCTGTGGTCCATTCTCATAAACTCGTCTTATAGTTGGGCCGCTGCTCCCCACTGTTACATTTGTCTTCGATATATCCGGTCAAATATTTTAAGCCCTCCTTTGTCAATATGTATGCCAGAAATGTCAGCAGTCTTTTTCTGTTTCTTATTATTAGTGTCTTTTTTTTATTAAACATTTCACATATGTTTTATTTTATTAAATGTGAAAATGAAAGAAAATTATATTCACCATTTGATGATCTTTGATTTTCAGAAAATAAAAAAAAAAATCGCTGTATAAACAGCAAAAATGATATGTGCCATTTATGGAGATGGTGCAATAGCTGACACTATTGTTCGGAATTGATTCGGTTGTTTCCGAAACGGAAATTTTATGGTGAAAACCCCAGAACAATCCTGCAGGCTTGCAGTGCGAAATACCAACTCAATCGGAACGCTGATTAAAAATAATAACCTGTTATATGGCACAGGCCATTGAAGAGATACTCCAGGCAGATTATTTGGACGTTTTATGGTATATTAAAACACTTGGACACATAAATCGCTAAAATATTTAGCGGCCTTAGAATTTAACAGAAAATGTCACTAACCACATTTCCATCTAAAATTCTCTGTACATACGCCACAAAAATGAAACATTTTTATAAAGAAAAAATACAGATGATAAAAAAAAAATGGATTGTTTAAAAAAAATGCGTTGGGAAAATTATCCTGAATAAAACAAAATATCCCCCTCTTAACGAATCTAAAAAAAAAACTTTTATTCGAAGAAGGAGATATGTATCTGCTGCGACTAGATGGTTAGTGACTCATACACAATCAGATACTTAATTCTGGGAAACCTTCTTTATATGCCTTGTGCTCCTCATGACGTAAGCGATCTTAGCTTTCCACAACTACTTCTCCTTTGTAGATCTTACACAATTGGTCATCTTGTTATTTCTTCTAAACTTTCTTCCGCCATCCATTTACTCAAGCTCACTAACTATATTATGCTTTGTTTTCCTCCGTCCATCTTGCATTCAGTCTGTCTTGTGAGCATCATATTTTCGAAGCCCTCTTTCCTCATTATGTGCCCTAGAAATTTCAACTGTCTCTTCTTGATGTTAAGTATAAGTGTCCTTTTTTTGTTTCCATTCTCTCTAAAACTTAGCTTTTGGAATGCAACTTTAGGCATCCCGATGCGCTTTCGGGGTTCAGAAACGCATTTTCCGTCGTCTGTTAAAACATTTCCTAGATATTTAAATTTTTCTATTTGTTTGATTTTAGTATCTCCGATTTTCAATTAGCATTTTCTGCTCATCATTTTGCTTGCAAGTGATGTTAAATCCTTTCTTCATGCTTTCTTTCACTACATTCTATAGGAGTTCACGTAGTTTTCTTTCTGAGCCTGCTATCAACACTCTGTTATCTGTATATCTTATGTTGTTAAGTTTGGGGCTGCCAATAATAATTATTGCTAAGCCTTATAATTCTCTTAAAATCACCTTGCTTTATCGGTTGAATAAGTCCAGTGAGAAGACTTATCCTTGTCTTACACCCATTTCTATTTTTGTATATCTGCTGAACTGATTTTTATATCGTCTTTCCGGTCTGATTCTGCTGCCGCCATCTTTCCTACATGGTCCGATAAAAGTTAGCATTTGATGAAAAACATCTGGAATTGGCCAATCGGAAGGGTGTCGTCTTCCAGAAACGCTAAATTATCTTCCAAAACATTGCTTAGCAGCAGATGCTTTTACAAATAGAATGACAAACGGGAAAGAGTTTGCCATCTATTAGACGGATGCAAAAGTTTCTCATACGATCTTAGGAAATTCTTGCTGAAACTGAAGGTTATTTGATATTTCATTGCTTGAGTTAACCGCATTTTCTTGTTCACCGTACTTAGGGAAATTCCTTGTCTATGAAAATGTGTTATCAATAAATTCGCGAATGAACATTTGGCAGCATTTAAAAATATGCCTTCTTTTTTTCTCCAAAACAGAAAAAAAAAATTTCAGAATAAAGAATCTCTAGCAACGAAATGATGGCAAGAATCAAAGAACATTCTAGTTTGTTTCAAAGAAGGTCGCACTATTCGAGCAAGATTAAATTTACAGACACATATTATTTGATGGGAATGGTAATATTAGTTGTTAACTTATAAGGAAATAATCGGCATTCATTGACTGAAAATCTAGAGCTATTACGGCTTGAAATTTATAAAATCTTACTATTTTTTTAAGCATTTCACCCCAAGAAAGACTACTAGCACGTAAGGGGTTGTGAGCAAGAGAAAGAGGGGGGTGATGAAAGGACAAAGAGAAGGAAGGGGATCAAGATTTAAGGCATCAGAACGTGTCGATTGACACTACATTTGAATATTTGAAATTATAAATATCAGGGAAGCAACTAAGAGGAAGGGAGTTCCACTGTCGGAAAGAGCAAGAGAAGTTGTTGGAGTAGAAGAAGCGGTTACATTTAACTGTTTCGACATTGAAAGGGATGCCAATCTAGTATCAAGCTTAAATTGATGCATTGTGGGTACCAGTGAAAATAGCTTGTCAGAGTAGTTGCCATGAAAATATTTGTTGAAAAGACAGAGGGAAGCCACATCACGTCTGTAAGAAAGCGACTGTAGTCGCAATGCCTATCACATTGCATATCTATGTACTTTGTCGAGAACCTCGAGATGAACAGCGGGGTCACCAAACAATATATGGCAACAGTATTCAATGCAAGGTCGAATGGTAGATTTCTAGATTTAAAAGATGGACTCAAGCGAGAAAACCTATCTGGCACCAAC